AGGAAGGGAAGCACTCTGGAGACTGGAGGGCCAGGGGGTTGGCCAGGACAGAAGGGAAGGACTAAGGCTCCTCCTTCTGCGCCTTGTCCTGCAGGAGGTGGCTGATGCCCTGGGAGGGGGTGCAAACCCTGACATCAACTCAACCAGTCACAGCAACTACTCAGCCTGGGACCTGGGCAGCGCCTTCTTTTTCTCAGGCACTATCATCACCACCATCGGTGGGGGAGGGGACTGGGCATGTGGAGGGGGGCAAAGAGTGGCTGGCCACTCTCTTGGGGGAAGGTGCAGGGGGAGATAGGGGAAGCCCCTAGACCTCCTGCTCGGTCCCTCTGCCCAGGCTATGGCAATGCAGCCCTACGCACAAATGCTGGACGCCTCTTCTGCATCTTTTATGCACTGGTGGGGATCCCGCTGTTCGGGATCCTGCTGGCAGGGGTCGGGGACCGGCTGGGCTCCTCCCTGCGCCGTGGCATCGGTCACATCGAAGCCATCTTCCTGGTAAGCTGCTCCATGCACTTGTGTTGGGCTCAGGATACCTTTCCTACATCCCCTCCTGGCACATGAGCTCCGCCTGAGATTGCAGGAGCCTCCCCGTGGGCTCCTGAAGGAAGGGGTATGGGGTGTGAGAGTGGAGGTTTTGGCGACCCCTGGGTCCTACCTATTGCCCTCCTGCAGAAGTGGCATGTGCCCAAGGAGCTGGTGCGGATTTTGTCGGCAGTGCTCTTCCTGCTGTTCGGCTGCCTGCTCTTTGTTCTCACCCCCACATTTGTGTTCTGCTATGTGGAGGGCTGGAGCAAGCTCGAAGCCATCTACTTCGTCGTAGTGACCCTCACCACGGTGGGCTTCGGGGACTATGTGGCCGGTGAGGCCACCTTTCTTGTGCTGTATTTTCCTACCCACTTTATTCCTACCCAGGGGCTCTGCACTTTTACTTCTCCCTCCAAATTCCATGTGGCGTTTGTGCACTCAAACAAGATGGCTCCAACCCCTATATCCGCTCATGGAATGCACCCTCCCTCACATTTGTGCACAGATGCAACACCTCATGCATTCTTGCATTCTTGCATGCCTGTGCCTCCATGCATGTTCACATATAAATTAAGGTACACCTCTTATACATACATTCTTGCACGTGAGCACTCCCATTCCCATGCTCTTATCCTGCACACCTTCGAGTCATGCATGTTTATCTTGCACGCATTCACACACTCTGGCACATAGCCATTGCCCTGGGGAGAGTAGATTCTTCAATGAACTGGGAAGAGGGGCAGGGAAACAGTGGCTTGTTCCACAACTTCTTTCTACCCTCCACCGGTGTCCCAGGTGCCAACCCCAACCAGACCTTTGCAGCCTATCAGCCGCTGGTATGGTTCTGGATCCTGTTCGGCCTGGCCTACTTTGCTTCAGTGCTCACCACCATCGGGAACTGGCTGCGAGTAGTGTCCCGCCGCACTCGGGCAGAGGTAGGCCCCCCTGGGCTGGCGCCAGGCCTGTGCCACCGTGACACTGAGGCGCTGTACCCTACCGGTTGCTTGGCCAGCCCGCCTCCCTTCCAGAGTGTGGGTCCTCCAGGCAGGGACTGAATGAACCCCAATATGCACCAGCCAGGTACAAGGGGATAAATTCAGATTTGCGGGAGACTCCATCTCTGTTCTTATGGATAGGGTTGCCAGATTTACCAAATAAAATGCAGGAAGCCCAGTTAACTGTGAATTTCAGATAAGTAGCAACTAATATTTTAGTATAAGTATATCCCACATAGTGCTTGGGCTATACTTATACTAAAATTTAATTTGTTTGAAATTCAAATTTAATTGGACGACCTGTATTTTGTCACCCCACTCGTGGATCCCCACCGAGGAGCCCAGAGGTCTCTGGGGACACGGGGAGGGGGGGCTGAAATAAAACGGGTTTTCTAGAAAAGCTCGAGGAGAAGAGGGCCCTTCCGTGCGATGGAAGGGAGATGGCGCGGCTGATGAGCCTGGCCTCCTCGGGCGGGTTGGGGCAGGAGGACCAGGGGAAAGAGGAACAATGCCCGATTGGCAGGCTCCGGGGTGGCTGAGGCGCTCGCGGACCCCCGGGTCGGGTCGAGGGCTGCTTTTCCTCCCCGCGCAGATGGGCGGCTTCACGGCACAGGCCGCCAGCTGGACCGGCACAGTGACGGCGCGCGTGACCCAGCGAGGCGGG